ATTCAACATAGTTTTGGAAGTTTTAACCACAGCAATCAGAGAAGAAAAAGAAATAAAAGGAATCCAAATTGGAAAAGAAGAAGTAAAGCCGTCACTGTTTGCAGATGACATGATACTATACATAAAGAATCCTAAAGATGCTACCAGAAAACTACTAGAGCTAATCAGTGAAGTAGCAGGATACAAAATTAATGCACAGAAATCTCTTGCATTCCTGTACACTACTGATGAAAAATCTGAAAGTGAAATTAAGAAAACACTCCCATTTACCACTGCAACAAAAAGAATAAAATACCTAGGAATAAACCTACCTAAGGAGACAAAAGACCTGTATGCAGAAAATTATAAGACACTGATGAAAGAAATTAAAGATGATACAAATAGATGGAGAGATATACCATGTTCTTGGATTGGAAGAATCACCATTGTGAAAATGACTACTACCCAAAGCAATCTACAGATTCAATGCAATCCCTATCAAACTACACTGGCATTTTTCACAGAACTAGAACAAAAAATTTCACAATTTGTATGAAAACACAAAAGACCCTGAATAGCCAAAGCAATCTTGAGAAAGAAAAACGGAGCTGGAGGAATCAGGCTCCCAGACTTCAAACTATACTACAAAGCTACAGTAATCAAGACAGTATGGTACTGGCACAAAAACAGAAATATATATCAATGGAACAGGATAGAAAGCCCAGAGATAAACCCACGCACATATGGTCACCTTATCTTTGATAAAGGAGGCAAGAATATACAGTGGGGAAAAGACAGCCTCTTCAATAAGTGGTGCTGGGAAAACTTTACAGCTACGTGTAAAAGAATGAAATTAGAACACTCCGTAACACCATACACAAAAATAAACTCAAAATGGGTTAAAGACCTAAATGTAAGGCCAGACACTATAAAACTGTTAGAGGAAAACATAGGCAGAACACTCTATGACAGCAAGATCCTTTTTGATCCACCTCCTAGAGAAATGGAAATAAAAACAAAAATAAACAAATGGGACCTAATGAAACTTAAAAGCTTTTGCACAGCAAAGGAAACCATAAACAAGATGAAAAGACAACCATCAGAATGGGAGAAAATATTTGCCAATGAAGCAACTGACAAAGGATTAATCTCCAAAATTTGCAAGCAGCTCATGCAGCTCAATATCAAAAAACAAGAAAACCTGATTTTACTTTGCCTATGGTTATGGTATTGACTTGAATCTTAGGAGACAGACAGGATGTTTAACTATTAGTATTAAATGAATCTGAAACATGATTGTACTTCTGATTCTTAGTCATCTTCATCAGTTCCTCTTAATTCATTCTTCAGCTACTGAGGCTTCATTCAAAAAATTTTTTTAATTAATAATTTTAGATAAATTAGAGATATGGCGCTTAGATAGATTTCTGATTTTGGTCATTTTTGTAAATTTCTTATCACCTGCTCTAGTTGTAACCCTCTGTCCCCTGAAACAGGGTCTTTGTTTTCTCTGTGGCATCTACCACATGGTAGGTAATAATATTTGCTGAATGATGGAAGGGATAAAACAGGTTATTTGCAATTTTATGTATATACAATAGCTATTAAAGCTTTTGAAAATGTAGCAGTTGCCAAGGATCTGGTTAGTAGGTTAGTTTAAAAGCTATCACAATTATAGAAATCAAGCATATACAAATCAATCAAGTAGGAAAAAATAGAGGATACTAATCTAAGGGTCAGAAGAGGGAAACTTAAGAATAAGTAAATAAAGGAATTTGAAGAGAATAATGCTAATTTGGTTGTGACCACTTTTATAAATACATGAATTTTCCATGTTTTCACAAAGGTATAAGTTCATGGTATAAATTCATCTTTTTAGAACTACATGTAGCAAGAATAAGTGTAAAATATTTGCAACTCTTCATTTTAAAGTTATTCTATACCTTTTGCTCATGCAAATAAAGATGTATGAATTTTCCATTCAATAATCACTAATTGAGTACCTACAATATATTGTGCCAAGTGCTGTAGATGGATGAATAAAAAATTGCCATTCAAGATGTTCACAGCCTGCTAGGGGAGACTGACACACACACAGCTGTCATGTGAAGTCAACCGTGATAAGTGCATCAGAGAGTTATGAACAAAGTGATTTAGGGGCAGGGGTTATGACTCATATCAAACTTGTGCAGTTCCAAAGAGCTTTACAAAAGCAGCAACCTTTGAGTTGGGCTTTTAAGGATGGCCCAGAGCCTACTAGTGAGAGCACAGGGGGATGATATGCATTCTGGTTGGAAGAAACAGGAAGTTTTTAATATGGCCTATTTGTGCAGTTCTTTCAGTATTTGTTGCTAGCCCCATGTGGCCAAGGGGTTCAAACCAGCACATTTTATCACATCTTGTACAAAGTCTAATCAGTAAGTATTGGTTTTTGAGTATCTGGATGAATGAATGAACAAACTTACCTTCTTAATATGGGACAATAATTTCAAATAAAAAAATTATACTTCAGTGAGGGTTGTGTTTCTTTACTTGATTATACCTATGCAGTTCAAAGGAGAATTTAAACTTTGTGAACTTTGATTAACATTCCTCTCACCAGATTTTAAGAAAACACAGCTGTGGACTTTATTCCTACCATTCTCTGCTTCCCCTTCTGCACTTAATTTCTACACTTTCATTGGTCTGTTTAGATGCATGAGTTCAAATATATGCCTTTGGTGGTTTTTTTTTAGTCTAAAATAAAACCTACTTAAACGGAGGCTACAGTCCTGCTTATATGTGAAGTGATATTTAGGTTGATATTTTTTATTTCCTCTTTAGAAGCAAAATGAACTCATCCTGTTGTACACATTATACTTTCTCCAATTAAAAACCTACAATACAGTGATAGGGAATGGGCTTGTATGTCCTATTGCAAAGTGTCCAGTGATATCTGGAGGATTCAGCTGGGTTTTAAAGAGATTGTATTAACATTTGTGCCATAAGTGACAGTTGAGTTATTTTAATTAAATGGCAGTTTCAGCCAATTAAGATTTGTCATTGTTTTGAGTCCCTTTTCCTTTTCTTGCTCTTTTCGATTTCAGTATGTCTTGGGAATCCAAATATGCTAGAGTATGATTCCTTTGGTATTTTATTATTCCTTTGCAAGCCAAAACAAAACTCTTTAGACCATCACAATCCCAAAAGGAAGCTGTAAGTCTTGGGAGTGTGATCACAGGCTACTTTTCTAGGACCCCCAGACTGAATCTAGTGTTAAACACAAGAAACACATTTTTTGCTTTTGTAGTACTTCAGGAAGAGTAATAAAATAACATTGCATATGTGTATTTTATTGTATGTGATCTTTCTTGATTCCCAAAACAACGTGGAGAGATAAGCAGGGTAAATATTTCCATCCCATTTGATAAGCAAGCCTCTGTCATTTACCTACAAAAAAGATGATTCCTCAAAGTCAACAGCTGATACAGGGATGAGCTGGAACTAGAACTGAGTTCAGTGCTTCTCCCTCTGTGTTACAAGCCCTGAGGACTTTCTTTTACTGGCTTACTTGTAAGCTATAAGGAAATGTGGGAAGCAGAGGAAAGAACAGTAATGAAATTATTTACAGATGAACTTGAAAGATGGCTAACGTGCTATTGGCATTTGGAGAAAAAGACTTTTTTTGAGAATCATGGTGAAATACTTCTACCACGTATAATTCCTGGGTTTTATACCATTCCTGGGTTTTATACCAATCACAAGTTCAGTTATTATCCCAACGTGAGTGGTGGGCTCTAGAATATGGACTGGAAGGGGTGTTTCTCAAACCAGGGAGACTGAGAGATATCATAATCTCTGTAAGAATTGATGGGATGGAGGCAGGTGTGGGTGAGGAGGGTGGAATTTGATGGTGCCTGTGGGAATGGAATTGGAAGGAAGAGTGAGTTCAAGGACAATGTTGAGCCTGGAATAGACAGAATTTGGTGGTTTATTAGATAGAAAGGAGAGAAGAAAACAGCAAACAGCACTAGACTCTCTCCTGCTCTTTACCCTAGTAAAGTTAGCACATACAAGCATAGGAATATTGACATTCCTGGCTTCACGCTTTATAGAAAAAGGAACAGATGATTTCCATAACAGGAAAGAAACATGGCTCTCTCATCTAGGACGACTAAGCATTTGTTATGTGTCTGCTCAAATATATAGACTGCCTGAGTTAAAGGGAGCCTGGTTTACCCAGCGATCGGTTGTAGCCACCTCTTCAGGAGTATATATGGAAATGAAAATAACTCAGTTGGTTTCTGTATTATTAGTTTTAAAATGGGGGCTTTTGATATAGAAATATCTAAAAGGATAGGAACAGGAAAACCATGCAAGTGCATCAGATGTCTATTCATAGCAAAATTTCAAGTTACCTTTTGATGCTGAGGCATTATGTGTGGGCCAGGTTTTATTGGGTGGATTTTCTCTTCCAGAGTTCCAATCTCCATATTATATAATTGAGGAAAACAATGTCCTTGCTCCTTGGCATTGAAATTCAAAAGCAGGGATTTATGGCTTTTAAAGTCACACATCTGAGAAAGGCTGTCACTCAGCTAGTGAAACTATTTTCAATGGAAAGTTGAAAAGCTGAAGAAAAAAATATATTTTGCTATACTGTTGATTTTACTATTTAGTAGGTATGTCTCTGACTGCCTGTGTTACACAGCCTTGGGGCAAAACACAAGAAAGATTGATCAGAATAAAATTGGTGGGTTTGAAAAGGGAACAAAATAATAAGGAAACACACTCCTCATTTATGAGACTGCTGAGCTGCTTACTCAAGGAAATTTATCCTGCTCCTGTTATAAATCTGAAACGTATAAAAGAAATCAGGATGAGGAATGAAAAAATAACAATGAACGTTGTTTCGAAATTGTGTCTCATTTTGTCATTAAATTGGATGTTGTTGCTCAAGGAACCATTTGTTCTTTCCTGAAAGAGACAAGGAAGGAGGATGTTTATCTTAATACATCTTTTTTTCCCTTTGTTTCCTTCAGGGGTCATGGTATACTGAAAAAGCACTCAAGAGAAATCTGGGGGGAGCTGGAAGCTATCAAGTTATTGAGGCCACACAGGGGGCAGAAAAGACAGAGGTGGGTACACTTTTGATCCATCAATCCTGCTATTGAGGGTGTCCCTGAAAATATCTTTGTTGTTATAAAGCCAGAGGACAGCAAGGAAAAGGTATAAAGTGGGAGGTTTTTATTTTAGAAAACAGATCAATATGGTTAAATGGAAGCTCGATAGAGTCTATTGTTAATGTCAAATTAATAGCATGCATGCCAAGAACTTGAGCTAGGCATTTCCATACTGTGTCTGCCAGGGGCCAGTGATTAGTACAGAGACTGAGCTTGGTTTGGTATTTACATTCTTAGCTGAGCTTATTTTAAATTGTTCTCAACGGAGGCAGCTAGCCCACCAAAATAATGTTTTAAATTTATATCCTTTAACACAGAAGAAAAGCTTATAGTATTACCAGTCAGATCCTATAAACTTACTACTCACCTAATACGGATCTCCTTAGAGACCATAGTGACAGCTTTGTTATCAATACATACAAGTAAATAGTCTTGATGACACTGACTGGTGGACATAAATCTCTAATGCTTTTTTGAGAAACAGTTTTCTGTGTGCTGCTGATGTATTTGAGGCCCCTCCAGTCCCTCAGGGCTGTGTTTTCCCACTCGGAGTGAGAGATTTGCTCCCTTGTTGCAGTGAAGATGGCAGATCAGAGACCATGGAGTAAACCTCAGCCTGTGGGAAGCCTCCTCCCACTCTTGGATTCCCATGAGAACAAAGCTCCAAGGGAACAGGAAAGAGTGGAAGACGTTACATTTGGTTTAGGCTTATTGCCTGGTTTTCTGAAAACCAGTACAGTTTTCCTATTAACCCATTGCGATTTCATTTAGACAATGGCAGTGGGTTCATTTTCTTGTTATCTGAGCATTTTACTACTTTCTTGTCAACTTTTTAAGTTTGTGTCAGTGGAGAATAACATGTTTTAATTGAAATCTACCTTTTATTATGAACTAATGTCATGAAAAAATTGTATCAAAAAGCATTTATATTTCTATATAAACAATTGAAATCTCCATACTAAGAAAAAACAGCAAGTACATTTGTAAACATTAATTTTGTATTTAAAGAAAATTAAGACTAACATAAAATAATTGAGTCTTTATTGTGAGTGGAGTGGATAGTGCTTTATAAACACAATCTCGTATAATCCTCACGATAACTGTGTGAGAAAACTAAAGAAGGCGTAGTTATTCCCTGAGATAAAAGTGTACCTTGCCAAGTGCACACATTTAGCTAGTGGGTGGTGAAATTAGGATTTGAGCCAGATTTTGTCTGATGCTTAAGCCCATGTCCTTGACCAGCTTGGATAGGGAGATTCGGCAGGAGCTAAAATACTCTGTTTAGATGAGCAAAGTATCTTGTTTGCATCAGGTATTTATAATTGATGGTTGAAAATATACATTTTTAAGGAACATATTATCCCATACTCTATGAACTTTACAAAAGAGATGAAACATTTTTCTGATTCATTTAATGAAAAGCACTTAACTAAAAAAACAGTTAACTAAAAAACAAAAAAATTCAAAACACTAAAAAAAGTAACACAAAAAAGAAAATCACAAAAATTCACTGAAATACTAAATACAGGAATGTAGAAATCAACAAAATAAAATAATACAAGAAAATCGTGTTTATTCTAGAAATGTACACGTGGTTCAATATTGAGAAATTTATTATAATTTCATAGTCATAGACTAAAGAATAAAACTGCTATTTTTTACCTCCTAATAGATTTCAAATGACATTTGATAAAATGTACCTATATTTCTTTTAAGAACATGCATATATACAACATAGTAATTTAGGTATAGAGAGATATTTTTAAATTGTGAAAAAGCAGAAAAAATAGAAAAACTGTAGACACTACATGCCCTATTTCATCACTTATAGTTAACATCATTCTATAAATTCTAGCCAATGCAATAAAATTTTTTAAATGACTAACGTTTTAAAATTTCTTAATATATATACTAGAAACTGTTCTAAATACTTTACAAATATTAATTCATTTAATCTTCATAACAATCCTAGGGAATATTGACTACTATAATTCTCATTTTACAAATGAGGAAGTTGAGGCCCAGAGAAGCTAAGTAACTTGGCCAAGGTCACATAGCTAATAAGTGGTAGAGATGAATAAGCACTCAAGTGGCTTAACTCATGAATCTTTAATTTTAAATCCTATCATATGCTGTGTCTCAAAGTTCACAATTATTAGAAAAGAGATGACATCTTTTTTCCTTAAAAAAGTATATATATATATACACACACACACACATATATGTGTGTGTGTGTGTGTGTGTATGAATTTACTACAAATCCCAAGAAAATCAACTGGAGAACTATTAGAATAAGAGACTTCAGTTAAGTGGTCATACAAAAGATAAATGTGTATAAATCAATCAACTTTTCTGTGAGAGCTACAAATAGAAAACATGATGAAAAAAATCCCATATCTATGAGTAAGCTATAATAGAAATGTACAAGACTTAAATGAAGAAAATAACATTTTGTTGAGAAACACAAAATAAGATTAGCAGTAATGGAGATTGGTATTATATTCCTGGATGAGAATAATAAATATTGTAATGATGTTAGCTTCCCCAAATTAATTTATAAAGTTAATGCAATTCCATATAGAACCACAAAGAGATTTTTAGGGAGAGGTTGGCAAAATGATTATTAAAATTCATCTGGAGGAATGAACAGACTGGGAAAAGCAAATTTTTGAAAAGGAAGAATAATGAAGAAAGAACTTATAATTCCAAGTATTAAAACATATTATAAAATTACTATTACTAAGGCAGTATGTTACTTTTTACTAAAATAGAGACTTAGGAGAGGCTAAATCATCTTGAAAATTCCCCAAATAGACTTAAGCATGTAAGGGTAACATATAATAAACACAGAATTTCATGTTGGTGGAGAAGGTATTATTACAAGAATACAATTCAAATAATTAGTTATTGTTAGGAGAAATTGTAAAGTTGAATCTTTTATTTATACAAAATACAGATAAATATCAGATTAATTGAAGAAGAAGAATGAGATATAACTGAAAAATAGGTGAATAATTTATAATCTTGTCTAATATGACATCAAAGGCAAAAACCATAATTAAAGATTGATAGACTTGACTATGGACATATTAAAACTTTTTTACATACAGATAGAAAGGAGACTCAAGCAGCATGCCTAGCACTGTGTTTGAAAATTCTTTTCTTGATTTTTTGGGGGTTAGAATTAATAAATCAGCAAGTTCTGACTAATATTCTAAATACACTACTGTTTGAAGGCTTAAAAAAGGGAAGCCCACTCTGGGATACTGTGCTATAGACACAGAGCAAATTTCAAAGATGGAATTCTAGAGAAGACCAAATAATGACATGGAAGTCAGGATTGTTCCATCTAAAAAGGTCAGCTGAATTTGAATTACAGTATCCAAGAGAGTAAAGGATTTCAACTAGATAGTTTTATAATTCATACAAGTATATATAAAGAAATATAAACATATATATAAAGAAAGGAGGTGGTCATTGACAGTTTAGCACTAATTGTTAGTGATCAAAATAGCTGCCATTTAATGTTCATAGTGTTTGCAAAACTCATTTTCTCATTCCTTCATTCAGTATTTATTGAGCACTTGCCCCATTTACTCTGTGCCAGTTGTGAGCACTGAGGGTGCAGAGCTGAGGATACTTTGCGATTCCCCGGGGTTTGTAAACTGCAGGATCTAGAGATACAGAGAAAAATTGACTACAGGACCATGAGGAGACCCAAGGAGGGTCACATCAAGAGTGGCTGACGTTTAATGCTTTGGGAAGGTCCTCAGGGATGACATGCTAACTTTCTTCAATTATATGAGGAATATCATCTGTATGATTGAAAAGGCAAAACTAGGTTGAGTGGATGGGAATCAGAGAAAGACATATTTTTATTTAATTAAAGGAATGGCTGTCTGAAATTATAACAGGCTACCTCTGGTACCTGAGATGGTTCCAGAAGCTTGGTACCACTAGGAAGGAAAGTAGCACAAGGAATTCATACACAAAATGGTGAGGGGCTGCGGATGGAGAGTTGGTGATTAACTCATCTCTGAAGATAAAATGTTCTTGGATCTGTTATTGAGATCGTTGATGTGGGAAGGGCTCCCTTGAAGACAACACAATGAGGGGCTCTAGGGAGTCAGGCCCACCAGCTTTACACTTAACTCTTAGACTCAAAGTTTTAGTAATCCATGTTCTGTGTTTTATTAGTATAATTTATATATTGAGACATTTAAACAATGCTAAGAAGAACAAAGAATAGAATCAACTCCCACCTCTCAGAATTAACACATTTCATTTTATAATATTTGCTTAGTCTTCCGTTTTAAAGAAATAAAATGGCACAATTAGGTAAGTCTCCTTTCAGAAGCATCTATAAATTAGTGTGTATTGTTCCCGTCCATTTTATACTTTTACCCACGTATTTATGCAACCATTCCAATATTTAGTCCTGGTTTGTGTTTTTAAAATTTACAAAAATAATATCATTGCTTTTCACGACACTGTGTTTTTGAGATCTATATAGTTATATATATATAGTTCTAGCTCTGTTCTCCTAGGTGAAATTTGTGGGGTTTTTTTTTTTGCGGTACACGGACCTCTCACTGTTGTGGCCTCTCCCATTGTGGAACACAGGCTCCGGACGCGCAGGCTCAGCGGCCATGGCTCATGGGCCCAGCCGCTCCGCGGCGTGTGGGATCTTCCCGGACCGGGGCACGAGCCCGTGTCCCCTGCATCGGCAGGCGGACTCTCAACCACTGCGCCACTAGGGAAGCCCTGTGTGGGTTTTTTGATAAGACGTTTACTATTCACGTTTAGTGGCCTTCCTTACTCCGAAATTGGGCCTGTGGATGACAGGATGTTATTGCTGGAAGATTTAGGAGAAAACGTTCTCATTTATGTCTTTATATATTGTCAACACCGGGACTTTTTGAAAATGACAAAAGCTAAGCCAGAGGGGAAGTCAG